TTAGTTCAACATCCAAAAAAAGTTGTAAAAGTCATTCTTGAGCAAACAAAAAAAAAGTTATAAAAGTCATCAATTAAATATACATTAAAAATGTTATATTTAGTGTAATCATGGGAGCCAATCATTATGGTAAATCTCGACCGCCATCTTCTCTCGGTAGAACTCGATAAAGTCATCATTTATTGTTTCAAACGACATGTCTTGCATATCAAACTCAATATCATTTACTGTGTTGACGGTGCAATCTCCCATGTTTTAGACAACATATATTTTAGTTTCTACAATTAAAAAAATTCAATTAAATATTAAAAATGAGAATTCAAAGTACACTTACGTAGAATTTTGAGGATGACCGCGCGGGCATCTAAATGGCCACGGTCTATTGAGGTGATTTTCAATTTTCTCGAAAGATCCCGATTCACGAAGTATTTAGGGAATGATCTTTGTAAATGACGCTAAATGTGTACCCATAACCTTGTCCGTATAGCATCCCAAACTAGAATAAAAAACAACAAACTCTCGACTAATAAAGTCAGCCTTCACCGCAACCCAATGGGTATCGTTGATATTGAAAGGGAAATACAATGCCTTTGCACCCTTCCAAGATTTCTCTAGTTTGGGAAGCTTGCCATGAACGTACTTCATAATATCGTCATCAATCCTTTCATTTTTAGACTTCAACAAAAGTAATTGTATGAAAAGATCATCCAACACAAACCTGTCTTGGTTGAATACGTTGGGATACTTTCGCGGCCTCTTTATAATTCCATACATGGCCTATTCAAGATGCTGCATAAAGGTACTAGGGGCATATTTTATAAGATAAAAATTGAAAAGAACATAAACGTCACCTATTCGATAAGTGATTTACCTCGTTAAAAAGCCATGTATCGATCGCCTTTATCTGATCAAAGAACAACTAGTTTCGTTCTACCTTACAATCAACATGAGCCTTAAGCTCACATATCATCCTGATACAATCCCCAAATGTTGTAGTCGGCAGAGGTCTTGCTGTATTATCTGTAGGGACTTCCTCACGAACTCCCTCATCTATAATATCTTGACCACCGTCTTGGTATTCTCCACAGACTTTTTCATGTGTAACAGCTTGAGTTTCCTCTCGGTCTCCTACACGGATTCCCTCATCAAACCACTATCACGAAGAAAGTAACGACAACTTTCTACATCATTGCGCCAGATGTCCTCAAAGTATATACTAGGTCCGGATTGTAGGAGGGTCATCCACTGGTCAACAATGGCATTGGGGGTTTTACATGAGCAACAAACCCCTACATGTGCGCGCTTACAACTCCTTTGTGGTCGGCACAAGGATGCTTTTTATTTCTTGCAACTTAAGAACTTAGAATTAATGACCAATATCTACTTAGGGAAAAAAACCTAATATGTATGATACCAACCATCGTATCTCCTACTACTTGCATAATGTGCTCTAACTTTGGCGTCTGTTTTTTCTTATACTTTGTTATCCATCGACAAATTCTTGATAGGGGTCCTGTGATATCGTCCCTCATATGTGTAAACTCTGGTGAAAGGGTCATGATACACTTGAAAGGTAATAACTACATAAATTAACAATTGCAATTCATATGTAATAAAACATCTAAAGCAAATTAGATGTTAAATTTTTACATTTAAGTAAAATTTACTCACCATAAGTGGCAGAATGAACCCAGGACAACCCCGCCCTTGCTGATCCTTTTTTGTATCAAAAGCATTTGAAAGACTTCTTTAACAAGTCTAACTTATCCACATGACCCATCAAATAATTAAAAGAATGTCTCTCCAATGGAAAGACACGACAAGCATCTAGGTCGTCAACAATTGCAAGGCATTTTTCATCAATGTGTGTGCCATCCTTCTCATTGCTCACTAAGACCGAGCATAAAAAATACAACACCGTCATCTTTAACTTGTCTTTTATGCAGATTGAATAATCTCTTTCTTTAGTCAAATCGCCTCGTCTCCTCCTTTTGTTATGATCTTCTTCCGGTGGGATCACCATGCTTTCTAATTTCACTTTCACGTCCTTTATTGTTATCTTTGTCTTCTCTGAAAAGTTTCTATTTAGGAAATCGTCACTACCTATTTTTTCCCACTCGTCAGGATAAGCGGCACAATTGAGTCCACTTATCAATGCATGTTCCATTAGAGAGTATTGAATTGGTATGCCGTTTATGATGAACTAAATTTCTTTTTTCTTTATCGTTACGAACTCACGGCATCTCAACATCCACATTTCCATCAAACTCATGTTAATGTGTTTGGGAACAAAAAAAAGATGGGCGAATTGAGAGTCCATGAACTATTGCATCCCATCCGGTTAATCACTTAAGGCTTTACTAATAACTTTTACAGTTTCTCTCAAGACACGCTTTGTTGTTATCTTACATTTAAAGTTCATGCACTGCTAAGATAATTTGAATTTAGGCCGCGGGACATTGCAAGCCTGCAATAATCATATTATATGTACCAATTGATCAAAATCTTAAGCCTTAACATCAAAATTCACATGTCTGAGCAAGAAACCACATATCAAAATGAAGGGATGTACATTGCTTATCGATAGTCGATACTGCGAATTATGGTACACTACAAACTACAAAGCACCACATTACACGAAAAGAATATTATTTGGACATAATAAACAAATTTTTATGTTTTATTTGTGTACCTATTGACAGTATACATAAAAATATAAATATATATGTATCTAGTCCTAGATATTTCTTGAAAAAAAAGAAAAAAAAAAAGAGAAAAAGTATTAAGATACATACACGTATACGACTGAGGTTCCAGAAGATAACTAAGGTATGAGTTGTCAACTCAATACCAATGGAACTAAAAAATCGTGGGCTGTTCTATGAGATTTTCTTATTTTTGGTTTCCTTTTCTCAATTTATTTGTTTCTTACCGGAAAAGAAAATTCACAATTTTATAGGCATGAAAGTGGAAAGATTATGAACAAATTGAGACTAGCATGTGACTTGGGAGTTGAATTATAATCTAACTTATCCGCAAAGAAAAACTCAAACTCTGCATTTGTAATCAAGTAACTAAACTTAAATTTTAGTAAAGTGGCAAAATCTTACTGATGGTTTCAAGGTCGTGATTGTGGTGTTTTTACTGTGTTTAGAGTGGTTAGCATTGATGGTGGTGGTGTCGAGAGTGTTTGGTTGTTGTCATTAGCTGGTTGGGGTGGAGTCGCACTTATTCCTTCAGAGTTATTTTCTGACTCTATGTTTGACAGCTCCACATTTCGACGGCGTTGGATCAGAGGGGGAAAGGAGGTCGGTGTGGTCCGCTTTCGCGCCATATTCAGAACGGTCAGAGTGGAAGGGGCCGGTCAGAAAGAAAAACAATCAGAAATCTACTGTTCGGAGAGGGTCGAAATGTTACCAGTTGGAAGAGTGGCCGTCATTTCAAGCAGAGGTTGATTCAGCGGAGTAAGAAGGTCGAAATTTGTGTGGCCGGAGATGTGGTGGAAGGCCGGCGAGTGAGCGGCAGAGAAAGAAGGATGAAGATGTTAGGGTTGTGTTGTGTTGGGTCCTCCCGTAAATCTGATTTGGTTTTTGAGTTTTCTTTTGTTTTTTTTTTCAATTTTAAAACAGGAGTATGAGTATGAGAATGTTTGGTTCATGGATTCAAAACTATAATTCAGAATCATTCTCGGTTTACATGTGTTTTTTGAGAGAAAATATTGTAGCAAGCCACGAACCATGATCCGAATCATGACACGGATCCTTACTCTAAACACAAGCTTAGGGCCCATTTAGTTTGCTGATTCGAGATTTTAATTCGAGTTGAGATATAACTTTATGTGAGAGCTTTTTACTGTAGCAAAAAAATTAGACGTGACTCTTTTTAAAAGCTTTTTACTATAACAAAACTCAAATTCTAAATTCAAATCGGTAAAATAAACGAAACCTTAGTGGACGTTTAGTTCGTGTATTCAGAATCATGATTCATAATCATTCTCGTTTTACGTGTATTTTTTTGAGAGAAAAATACTATAAAAAACTATGAATTATGATTCAGAATCAGCGATGAATACAAGAAACAAACATAGGGTGCGTTTGGAATTGATTCCAAAACGTTTTTGTTTTCTGTACGAAAATGGAAATGAAAACGTTTTCATTTTCATTTTTGAATTATTTCTGAAAATGCGTTTGGTAGTTTTATTTAGAGATTGATTTCAGTTTTAAAAAAAATTGAAACTGCGTTTGGTGGTTTAATTTTTGAAAACATGTAATAATATATTAAATAAATATTATTATTAAATATA